GGGAATGTACGGAAAACATATGAATAAAATCATAAAACAGACATCGCATCCAAGTTAATGTCCTCTTATATATCTACAATTTATATTTTATTTAATTACAAAATACATTTTTCATTGTATGAATATACCTAGATCCGCCTCTCACTGCATACAAACTGCGTCAAATTTTATGATGTGACGTCACATTGACAAGTGCATTGCGATCAGTGCTGTGTGGGATTTAACCAAGGACAATAATGTATGCACTAGTTAGTATTGATGTAGTTTAAAGCTATTCAACAGTTTAAAATAGCAAATCATTTCATTTTGTGGTAATTTGAAGAACTTATATTTTTGTGTGATGTCATAGTAAGCATTTCCCGTATAAATTAGGCCCCGCCTCCTTACTGAAGCCTTAACTGTGCTGCGATCCAAAACCCGCTGTCTTATTTTAAGAACCCTCTATACACTCACACTAAAGAGTTCTAATTCCATGGCATTTTTGTGAGTTGGCATGATCTGCCCTTACATTTAGATCTAAAATGAAATAAACTGAAATCTAAACTTTATTTTCAATTCAAGCATTCTAAATCTTTCATTTGGCCTAGATAAATTAATTGAACATTTTATTTGCTTGTACCTTTCTCATTTAAGTAAGCAACAGTGATTTCAGTTCAACTACACCTCAATTCTTTAAAGATTTAAGTTAGAAAAGCCAAGATTGAAGTTGGAAAAGCCAAGATTAAAAAAGCCAAGATTTAAGTAAGTTTAAAGCTGGAAAAGCCAATTTTAAAGTTGGAATTTCCAACTTTAAAAAAAATATTACGTGGCACGAATACGCTTCTGTAGAAAATAGATGTCTTGCGAACAAGATAATATCCAGATTAATTAACACATACTGGATTATGTGAACACACAATAAGCCCTGCATATGAACATGACTTAAGGACCCTCTATACACTAATAAAAAATGTTTTTTGGACATTGAGAGAATTGTATCATAAAAAGGTGTAAATATTGTGTCTATCTATTTCATTTTCAACATAGAAAAATTTTCAAAGACAACATAATATTGATGAACACAAATTACTGTTGCTCATTTAAATGGAAAAAAAATACATGCAAATAAAGTGTCCAATTAATTTATCTTGGCCTAATAAAATGCTAGAAATGATTGAATTGATTACATATAGAATGATATACTGGAGATTTCAATTTATTCAATTTTATATCTAGGGGCAGATCACTCTAACTGCTTAAAATTACCATGGAATCAGAACTTTTAGTGTGCAGTGTTTAGAGGGTCGTTAAGTAAAACTTTGAGAGTTTATTTATTAATCATTACGGTTATAGAATAGGATAAAACCAGAGACTTCAGAATGCAAAACTCGGAAGTTTCTAGTTTTATCCTACACTATAATCCTAATCAGAAGTTGATGTATCCTCTGTAAAGTCTTAAAATGTCTTGTGCCAAATTTTGAGGAATATATAAGTAGTGTAATATACAGAGATTCGACGAAAGACGCCTCGAACGATTCAAAAGAAAAAAAAAATCTCGAAGCGCACTGTGTCTTGTTTAAGTAAGGTTGATGAGTGATAAATTAATAAAATACGAGTTTGAAGTGGGGGTGCCTGAAACTGAGTAAGGTACCTTGTGATAAGAAAAAGAAGATGACCCTAACGAAACAAGTGCCTGTGTTCGCACTCGTGAGAATATCAAAGCTATCCCACTCATGAAATAAATTGTAACATTGAATATCTTCTATTTATATCCTTTGTACTACATGATAAATTCAATGTCTCCATATAACAAGAGACCCAAGGGCCTCAATGGTCACCTGAATTAAAAACAACACGGTAAAGGATCCAAAACTAATTGATAGATGAAGATATTTTGTCCAGGAATTTCAAATATCTGGTAAAAATACCATTGCTTATTGTTAAGTGCGAGACCCAAGTGTTCTCCTTGGGATCGTACTTGGTTTTCCCAAGTCTTACAGGAATGATAATGAATGCAAAATATAAAAATACAATGGATACTTGCCTAGTGTGCAAGGTATTCAATATATATACAGATATTGTTTTTGTCACTTGCCCAGTGCTACAAAGTACACAAAGAGAAATCTCTAATGGCTGTATATTTACTCGAGGAGAAGCCTCTTGGCTACACAAACAACTTAGCTGCTTGCCGACGATGCTTGCCACTTGGTAACACTTAGTACATTGTACCAACACTTGCCTCTTGGCTACATGTATACAAAACACTTGGTAATACTTGTTACCAGCACTCGCCACTTGGCTATTCAACGTGACTCTTGGTCACTTGTCAGTAACTACAACATGTCCTCTAGTCACCTCGGCTCTCTGATCATTTGTTCACTTAGATAAAGTAAGAAACTGACTTTGAGCATGCTTTGCTCGTTTAAACCAAACATTAATTTTTATTTTGTGTCTATATATATATATACCATTCTTGTATTCTCATTCAATCAAATACCCTGTTAATTAAATTAAATACAAGGATTTCTTGTTTGTTTGTTTGTATGATGTTTAACGTCCCTCTCGAGAATTTTTCACTCATATGGAGACTCCACCACTTGCCGGTGGAGAGCTGCAAATTTTGTCCTATACTCGGCACTCAGGACCATTGAGCAGTAGGGATCTTTTTCGTACCAGCACCTACTGCGACACGGGACCTCGGTTTATAAGGTCTCATCCGAAGGACCGGTCTCCACGTCCCATAGTGGGATTCGAACCCGCGACGTAAGGATCAAGTCCTTACTTCGCGACTCTAGAGCAGACGCTCTAACCACTGCGCCACGCGGGCGATCAAGGATTTCTTGATTTAACACTCATTTGCTTCACTTATTATAACTTTGTACTCTGTTTGCCCTAGCTGCAATAATGTAGCCCTCTCCGATTTTTTTTTAATCTGATATTTTCAGGAGAGGGCTACAATTCCGCAGCATCTCTGTAATGGTGCAAATATATTTTTTAAATACGGGCGACTGCAGGCAAAATAAATTGTTTTTACATTCAACTTACTTCTAAAAAGGCGAAATTTTTATTCACTGTCAACAACATAGCCCGTTAAACGCGAAAACCAGATAAAATAAATCTGCTTGTTTACCAGTCGCTCTCATCAGAAGCCATGACAGTTCTCGCGTGATGCACTGAGACTTGCGCTTGAAAATTGTAAATTACTTTGTAAAGTAGATTTCGGGGTTACTAAATGATTGTGCTGTATGGCATCCCTAAATATTGATAAATAAAACTATTCCATGTGACATTTTTTCGTAAACAGTGATATTTATGCCTAAAATAAGGTAATTCCTACAGAGATCCGCTCCCTAGAGATCCCTAGTCTCATTGGCTGTCCCTAAATAAAATCGATCAAGGTCAGTAAACATGGCGGATAAATTCAAGTTGTGATGTTGATATACACGAAAAATAACCGATATATGGATTGTTCTGTGTATGTTTGGATTGATTTATGTTTTGCATTACTACATTTTTGGAGTTCAGGTAAGAAATGTTAATTAAATAGCCATTTACTGATAATTTAATCCGAAATCCGTGCTGGAGTGAATCACTCCCGCACTTGCACCATTACGGAGATCCTAAGGAGTTGTAGCCCTCCCCCCCCCCAAAAAAAAAAAAAGAAGGGAGAGGGCTACATTATTGCAGCTATGTTTGCCCCCTAGATTCCCAGGAGCAGAGAAGAGTCATTTGTTTTTATATATTTAGATTTATATTATTATATTTAGTCTGTTTGCTTAATATTCCGGGAGCAGAGGTGAAGATTTTAAAAGTATTAATGCATTTTTGCTAAATACTCAATAGAGCCGCCCAAATACACGTACCAGAACCCCTGACCCAGGGGCCATGAAATTCACAATTTTGGAAGAGGCACCCTTGCTCATCATAACTTTGCATTTGAATTGTTTGCTTAATACCAAGGAACAGAGAATGTTTTCAAAGCATTAATTTATTTTAAGTATGTATTAAACAAGCCTCCCCGGAACCCCCTGACCTTTGAGTCACATATTTCACAATTTTGGAAGAGGCACCCTTCCTCGTCATGACCATGTACTTAATTCATCGGCTGAATACCTAATGAGACGAGGAGAAAATTTTCAAAGAATTGATGCATTTTCACTATATAACCATAAGAGCCCCACCCTAATACCAAAACCCCTGACCCTGGGGCCTTGAAATTCACAATTTTGGAAAAGGCAACCTTCGTCATCATAACTATGCATTTAGTATGTTTCCTTAATACCCAGGAGCAGAGGAGAAGATTCTCAAAGAATTAATGCATTGTCACTATATAATCATTAGAGCCTCACACTATTACCAGAACCCCTGACCCAAGGGCCATGAAATTCAAAATTTTGGAAGAGGCACCCTTCCTCATCATAACTATGCTTTAAGTTTGTTTCCTTAGTACCCAGAAGCAGAGGAGAAGATTTTTAAGAAACAATGCAATTTCACTATATATTAAACAGAGCCCCACCCTATCATCAGAACCCCCTTGTCCCTGGGACCATGAATTTCAAAATTTGGTAGAGGGCTCAATGCTTATTACAATTATGCCAACAGTTTGACTGCTTGATGTCCAGGAGTAAAGAAGACGATTTTTAAAGATTGCATTAATTTTGATGGTTTTAGCCCCACCCCTCAGGCCCCAGGGAAACAGGGTCAATGAATTTATAATTTTTACTCCCCTTCACCCATAGATGCTGTATGCCAAAATTGGTTGAAATTGGTTCAGTGGTTCAATAAAAAAAGCTGAAAATGTTTAAATATTAACGGAAGTCGCATGACGACGGACGAAAAAAGATAGCGAAAACTCAGGTGACCTGAAAAGACATACATCGAATACTTACTAATATTTCTTATCGTATTAGACAAGGGAAAACAAGACTGACATTTTTCGATTTTGTTATCAGAGTTATCTGGTCGATAAATTGTCAACACAAGTATTTGTCACCCGCGTTGTGATTAGGTAGTTTTGAAATATTTTTATCACATGCATGTGTGTCTTCGATACAGAAATGACACACCATGAAATGGTGGACGTTTATATTCGTTCTTGTTATAGGTAGGTTAAGTTTTGGTTAAAGTATTTTAGAGAAATCTGTAGAATAGCGATATCCTTTCACTATCTTAAAATTCTATTTTGTTAAGATCTAGCAAAACATGTTCGCGTTAACAAGTCCCAGAATATATAGGCTGATCGAAGTACTATAGCAACGATATAAAATGTGAGAGAAAAAGACATGACACCTTTATATATGGTGCAATTTTCTCAGAGCAAATATCATTTATTTCAATGAAACAAAATCAAGCAAACATATATCACAAATTCACATATATAGAGACAAAGGTGTTTAGATTTGAGTTCATTTTTCAGCTACATGTCAGTAAAGTGTATATATGTTATCATTTCTTTTTTTCTCCGATAATACTTACATGTAAACATGTATTTAAATAATAAAATTGATGAAGATAGTTTACACTCAATCATAAAATACTGTATATATTTACGCGCACAGGGCATTTTCCTTGTAATATGGGTCATTTATGTTGACAATACATTGCATAATGCATTTGTTTGTTTTTCCTATCTCTTACATGTGCAGAATTCTGAATAGTAATCCGCCTTTTCCTTTTGCAAGCGACTTCATTGACCAATGCCAGAGGAGGTCGTGGTGGATCTAGAGGGGGACGTTATGGGGGTGGTTCCTACAGAGGCAGTAGAAGTTATAGATCCTCTTTCAGGGGTAACCGCCTGTCCAGCTCCAGTAGTATTCGGTCAGCCCTGTTGCTGGGAACAGTATACGGAGCTTCTCGGTACCGTATGAGAGCCAGTTATCGAGACCATGGCACGTGTACGTGCATTTGACTTCTGTTTCAATATCAATCATCTGTTAATCTGGTCGGCGTAATAGCACTGTAGCAACTGCTAATGACTAAACGCCGCTTATAATGGTAGAAATATCATTAAGCGTTGCAATTGCAACGCTTATTACCATAAATTATTGCATTAATACTTGAATTTCTCAACCGCTAATGCTTAATCGCCGCTTAATGAAAGAAGAATATCATTAAGCGGTTGAGAGTGTCTACTATTAATGCAATAATTTATGCATTAAGCGTTGCAGTGCAACGCTTAATGATATTTCTATCATTTAGCGGCGTTTTATCATTAGCGGTTGCTACATAGAACTCGCTAATTTTCTTTGAATTCTTAGATGTAAACTGTAGCATTTCTTATTCAGGGGTTTAACCAAAAAATTACCCAAGAATTTGAATCACAGCAATCGTTTTTCGTTTTGAAAATTAAGCATTCTGAAATTCCTTTTTTTAATCTTTTTTTTTAAATTATACAGTGCCCAAAGTCTGCTACAACGACAAGTATAACATGAGTGCTAATGGCACCGTGTCGTACAAGGGTCGGTTTTTCTGCCCACTGGATGAGAGTATGTCTGATGATTACAAATACTGCTGCGGAGAGGAAGGACGTCAGTACTGCTGCATATTCTGGACTGCGTACGTTTAAAATCTCAGTAATTAATTGACTTCCGTTAATTATTATAGTTTAACGTGTTGATCAAGCGAAAATGGACCTTGATACCAAAAGCAATATTCCACATGGCATCGAAACTGATTTTGGAATTTAGAAAAACAAATGAACATTTCAATTGTATAATGATTGACAAAATAACCCATAAAAGTTTACTAGTATTTTCTGGCAAATTAAAAATCTTCTTACTTTAAAATTATGGTGGTAATAAATCTAATAGAAATTATATGAACTTCTTGTTGAACTTAATAATATAATATAATTTACTATATGCTCTCTAATTGGTTGAGATTCAACATTCTAGTAAGCGTACTAATTTATGTTCACCTGCATGTGACTTTCCAGGTAAACACAGGTATTTTTTTTCTGCTGGTCAAAAATAGATAGAGAACTTCCTGATTGATAAAATCACAGCAGTTACAAAGTTATTTCACCTGCACCCGGCCTTCAAGGTGAACAATCACATATAGTTTTTCTCTGCATTGAACCAAAAATATATCGAGAATTTCTTAACTGATACAATTATGAAAAGTTATTTCATCTGTATCCGACTATCAGGTGAACAGAACTTTTTTTTTCTACATCACAACAAACAAAGGTGAAGAAATTCCAAATTAATGCAACAGGTTATGTTTATTTCATCTTGCTTCTCTCACTGCGTTCGGCTGGTGATGGCAAGATTTGATTACCGAGTTTAATCATTGAATCATATTATAAAAAAAAATTATTGTTTCTTTTTAACAACACCCCCGAGTACAATATTCACCTTGCCCTTCGGATTCGGTGAATATTGTACCCCTCATTTGGTTAAATCATAATATTGACCCCCCAAAACAGTAATAATTGTATAATATTCTACTTGGAACAGAGAAACAATTGCTGGATTGGTGATAGGGATCATTATCGGTACTGGTTTACTGTTTGTTGGTGTATTTTGTGTGGTGAAACGTTTAAAATCAACAAGACTGAGGAGGAGTGCGCACACAGAAAGAAGGTCCAGTAAGTAAACATTAATTTTTAGATTCACTTGTCCTTCGGGCAAGTGATCTCAGACCTGGACTTGTCCGAATGCAAAACTTGGTTGCCGAAAATTAGGGAAGAAAAATATTATTTATTACTGTAAACTGAGAAGAAAAAATGTGACCAAATACACTACTGTCAACTTGTCAAGTTGAGCTACATAAAAAAGTAATTTCGATGCTTCGTTTGTATAGTGTATCACTGTCCTTGTCAATTTAATATGTTAACACACTGCCATGCAACATTATCCCTCCGTTTTCTTTTAATAAACTTCATATTTTTAAAAATTAATTTCCGTAGAATCCTTTTGTGAATCGTGATTTTCAGAGATAACAAGCAACAGTAAAGGAAGACAATTGCTATGAAACATACATATCTGGATTGGGATACATCGTGTTACTTATATTCTGTGAATGAATTTCCTAATTAGAAGTTAACAAATTTGTTATAAGTAGAGCGTATTTATCGAGTGGGTCTGTCAGCTAACATCCGCAACTGTACTCGGCAATGCTGGTACCGGACATCTATGACTGTACCTGCTCACTAATATCAAAAACGGAATGTCAGAGCATGATTTTCCGGATTGTTAAACGTATTTAACTATATGTTGTTAAGTATGGATTGTTTTTTAATGAAAAATACGAATATGGAGGAAAGAAAATTTCTGATTCAAATAAATCTACTTAATGGAAGGCTGTAATCGCCAAAAGGTAACGATAACTGGCTTAGTGAATATATCGAGGAAAATATAATTATGTAAACTTGACTATGCCTAAATCCATTGTATGGATCGCTATAATCTCTAAAAAGTAACATTTACTACAGCGTACATTTTGTATATCTATGACTGTACATGGCCGTAGGAACCGGGGGGGGGGAGGGGAGGGGGGCACGGTTGGTAGTTGATAGTGCCCCTCAACTAAAAATGTATGGCTGTGCCCCCCCCCCCAACTGAAATTGCTTCCTACGGGCCTGCTGTATACCTGTGCCTGATATACAACATCTGCGACTGTACCTGTGCCGTACATACACACTGTACCACTGACTCAACCCGCGCTTGATTAATAACATCCACGACAGGAAATTCTGTGGATTTTCTCCGATTTAGATTTAGATTCAATCAAAGCGCAATTAACGCTAATCTTTGTACATGTATTACCCATGACAGTGATACCGAGACAAACAATGTCAGCAGTGATTAGGGAAGGATCCAAAACTTTTACAGATATAAAATTAAAGCTTAAAACTTTATGTTCCGAGAACAATATGAGCCAGGTCTTTAATTTTTTTTTTGTTGGGGAGGGGGGGGGCATGATTTTAATTTCCTACGTGCTCAATAATAATTGTGAATTTAAAATGAAACATGCTAGTATATTTATTGAAAATATACGAGTAAACAATAAACAAAGTAAAAGAAAAAAGGAAATTAAAATAAATATTGGAATTAATTTGTAATCCTTCATTTTATGTAAGAAAGTATAAGTACGTCACAATATTATTAATTTCACCATTTCATTGATCACGCAAGTGGTGTCAATGAAAAACACAGTTTTTTTCCCATAAATATATGTCTTACAATAAATACGGGTGGAATGAGCTGATCCACGCGTTTTCAATGTGTTATATATAATAAACATCTCAAGTGCACCCCAGAAAGTAGCCTAATATGTCCTGAAAAAGAAAAGTTCCTGACAAAAAACCTTTATTTATTTACAAAATACTTAAAATTTACTAGGCTCAGGTACCAAAGTTGTAAAAATAGGCTGGAAGAACACCCCCCCCCCCCAAAAAAAAATAAATAAATAAAAAATTCTCAAAAGAAATAAAAATTAATTTTATATGCATGGCACAATTAATATCTTGACTGGTCGATAACCGTGGTGTGATACCTGAAATATGCAGGGTATGGTATTAAAATAATTGATCATATTAAAGGAAATTACTGCTATAATTATCGATAACATCCGAAGAAAATATTTGTATAAGTAAATATTTTTATTAGATCCACCTCTCTAAGATTCTGCTATCAATTGTCTGGAATTAATCTATAGGGAATATCGGTGAATAGCACTAATAGCACTTTATTGAGTTCAGCTCAAAGAAAATCGTAGAGAATTTCTTGGGATGCAACATCCACAACTGTACCTGTCCTGACAACTCTAGAAATTTTACACCATGACTGTACCGATGCCTGATTGACAACATCCACGACTGTACCTGTCCAATACACACACTTAATTCTACATCCATGACTGTACCTGTGCTTATAAACAACATCCATGACTGTACCTGGCCAGTACACACACTTTATTCTACATCCATGACTGTACCTGTGCCTTAAAAAAAACATCCACGACTGTACCTGTGCATATATACATACTTTATTCTACATCCCTGAATGTACCTGTGCCTTATAAACAACATCCAGGACTGTACCTGTGCAGTATACACATCTTACTCTACATCCCTGACTGTACCTGTGCCTTATAAACAACATCCACAACTGTACCTGTCCATTACACACACTTTATTCTACATCCCTGACTGTACCTGTGCCTTAAAAAAACATCCACGACTGTACCTGTGCATATATACATACTTTATTCTACATCCCTGACTGTACCTGTGCCTTATAAACAACATCCACGACTGTACCTGTGCAGTATACACATCTTACTCTACATCCCTGACTGTACCTGTGCCTTATAAACAACATCCACGACTGTACCTGTCCATTACACACACTTTATTCTACATCCCTGACTGTACCTGTGCCTTATAAACAACATCCACGACTGTACCTGTCCAGTACACACACTTTTTTCTACTTCCCTGACCGTACCTGTGCCTTATAAACAACATCCACTACTGTACTTGTCCAGTACAAACACTTTGTTCTACATCCCTGACTGTACCTGTGCCTTATAAACAACATCCACAACTGTACCTGTGCAGTATACACATCTTACTCTACATCCCTGACTGTACCTGTGCCTTATGAACAACATCCACGACTGTACCTGTCCAGTACACACATTTTATTCTACATCCCTGACTGTACCTGTGCCTTATAAACAACATCCACGACTGTACCTGTCCAGTACACACACATTATTCTACATCCCTGACTGTACCTGTGCCTTATAAACAACATCCACGACTGTACTTGTCCAGTACACACACATAATTCTACATCCCTGACTGTACCTGTGCTTATACACAACATCCACGACTGTACTTGTGCATGTATACACACTTTATTCTACATCCCTAACTGTACCTATTCCTTATTAGGGTGAATTAAAAAAAATGACCAAACGCATATTTTTCAACCCACAATAAAAATACAGGCAATGAAAATATTTTCTATGTCTCGGGATATGTCTTTAGATGGTGTCAAAATACCTGGCAAATATCTCATTGATATTTCAATTAACAAAAAAGATATGCCAAAAAATGATGCTAAAATTGTCAGGAGTGCAACACCTCTTTGTGACATTTTGAAATTTCAATGTTTTTTGGAGATCTGTGAAATAAATAATAATGGTTTATGTTGAAAATAAAGACTTTCAAAGTATTGAGCTTTAAATGTGGGCTGTAGTAACTTTTGTTTAATCAAGTTGTGGTCATGGCTGATGTTTAAAAAAATGTTACACCATGTCAGGAGTGTAACAGAAAAAATGTAGTGTTGCGAAAAAAAGATCAATTGTAAAATTCTGAAAGAAAATTAAGACAAAAAAGAATTTTCGAAGTGTAAAACAATAACTGATATACATTTTAAAACTTAAAAATGTTATATAAATCACAAGCAGCATTAATTAGAGTCCAGTACATGTGCATACCCAATAATGTCAGGAGTACAACATTTGATGTTTTGCTCCCAAGCATGAAAAAACTATTATCATTATATGATTTTCTGATTTTTATTTTGGAAAAGAAAGACACAAAGAACATTTTTACCAAATAGATTTATCAATTACGGGATCTGTCTGTGCTTCAGATCTATATTTCTTTGGTCAGGAGTGCAACACATTTTTTTTAAAGATTCAAGTTGTGTGACGAAAATACTTCTATTCATGCTTGGACGTATTCATTAATTAATAATGATCTTTTTGTATAATTTAATGCTAAATTATTGACAGTTTTATTATTAAAATCCTTCCTTTTTCAATTTTATCAATTCAGATGTGTTTTATCTTTTTTGTGATTTTTTAATGAATGTTAAAAATAAACACACTAAAAAATTGTCGTAAAATTCAAGTAATTCCTCCTCAACTTCACTGAAACAACAGAACAAGTTCTTATGTAATTTTCACTTCACAATTGAATGTAACATAGATTAAATTCGCATTTTATCTGGAATTATTCCCTATTTATGCCAAAAAACTAGCTTAAATGTATATTTAGAAGATAAAATATATTTTAAAGCATATTTTCCTTTAGAGGACAAACTCAGTAACCCACCAGAAAAATTCTACTCATCATTTCCTCTTCATTTTTATTCTTATTGGATGATTTATAATTCTAACATATTTGTTGCACTCCTGACCAAAAGCATTGGCACCTTTAAAGTAGAATTGTGAAGTGAAAATTACATAAGAACTTGTTCTGTTGTTTCAGTGAAGCTGAGGAGGAATTACTTGAATTTTACGACAATTTTTTAGTGTGTTTATTTTTAACATTCATTAAAAAATCACAAAAAAGATAAAACACATCTGAATTGATAAAATTGAAAAAGGAAGGATTTTAATAATAAAACTGTCAATAATTTAGCATTAAATTATACAAAAAGATCATTATTAATTAATGAATACGTCCAAGCATGAATAGAAGTATTTTCGTCACACAACTTGAATCTTTAAAAAAATGTGTTGCACTCCTGACCAAAGAAATATAGATCTGAAGCACAGACAGATCCCGTAATTGATAAATCTATTTGGTAAAAATGTTCTTTGTGTCTTTCTTTTCCAAAATAAAAA